CTCACAAGAAATTACACACAGTTAGCTTAAATTTCAACAAAGCAGCGGCCCAAAAATTATAATTTTAAAAGATATGTTTCTCTCCTACAATGCAAGTAATCTCAGGCTACGACTGGGTAAAATTAAAAAGGGATACCCAACAAAATTTTAAAAGAAATTTAAACAGAAAGAATAAAAAAAGTACCTGCACATGCCAAAAAATTACAAAAACCCAATAAATACAGAAATTATTGCACAGTTAAAAGGCTCCACAATTTTTACTGCCTTAATCAACCCTCGGGTTTAATAGAACTTTGTAGACACAGGTTATATTTAAGTGCCAAAGTCTGGCACCTTACCATAGTTATGCTAAGTTATGTTTACGGAGGCAAGTTAGGTCATCTTTTCTCAGTTGGCAATAGTTAAACTGTACAAATAAAATGTTACCTAGACCCCTGAAATTTAACCTAGCGGAGGTGGGGGCAGGGGGACGGGGGGAGGGGGGTGGGGCCTTAGCTTCTTTCTGCCTGCTCAATTTTGACGTCATTTGTCAGCAAATGTTCTCCATGCCACTTTTTCATGTGTTTCTCCAGGGTGCTGTAAACACTGAAGGGCATCTGGCAAATGTCGCAGCGGTAGACCTCCTTCCCTATCTGGCCATGCGTTTTCATATGGCGCGTCAGCTTACTGCTCTGCGCACATGCATAGTTGCAGAGCTCGCATTTGTAAGGCCGCTCTCCAGTGTGGCTCCGACGGTGTACCGTCAAATTGCTGCAGTTCTTAAAGACCTTGCCACAGTACTCACATGTATCGCTCCTGCGTCCTTCCTTCGAACTGGGTCGCCCGGGGCCAGGTCCACTGATGTGGGGGGTGCTGCCTCCGCTCGCCGTGCCGCTGCGCCCTGAGAGCCCCCCGTCCAGCATGTCCCCCGGCGGAGTGGAGAAACGCAGGCTCCCGTTCTCCGATGAGTGCTCGGAAGAGGTCGCGAAGGGGGATTGTCGGGAGTCTGTGAATCCGAGGAACGGATCCTTCATGAAGTGCCGCGATGCTGCGTACCCTACCAGCCACTGGGAGTAAACGTTTTCAGAAGGTATTATCGTTGCTGGTGGCAAGTCCAAATCTTTCTCTACCTTTATTCTTTTAGAGGAATTGTTTAAACTGGGGCTCGTGATAGGTGTTGGCTTGCGGGGGAACAAGTTTGGGAAGGGTTCACCCGGGCCAAAGTTTCTTCCATTGACCGTACCTTCCTCAGTGCGGTCCAGCTCTCCTACCACTGAGTCTTCGTCACCCGGATCTCTCTGACAGAGGTCTCGAGGACACAAGTCTCGCTGGTCAGAGGACCTTTTCATGAAGCTACTCCTCTTCTGTTTCTCAGCTAACATGTCGTTATATTGCTGAATGGCACCTAGACTTACATTCTCAATGACTTTTCCCAGGACGAGGGACTTCTCATCTGGCAGCGACTTGGAGCCATTTTCTCGGTTACGACTCAGCTCTGAGTCCATACTAAAGCTCGACTCTGGCCGGCTCTCATTTTCAAGCTCCTCTTCCTCCTCCTCCTCCTCTTCCTCTTCTTCGTTGTCATGGCCCAGGGAAGGATCGCTTTCGTTCCTGAAATCTGCCTCACTGGATTTCAGTCCCTCTCCAGTGAGCTCACTTGTGCCTGGCTCTGGGGAACTAGTGGTGGACAGTCCATCATCTGACCTGCCTGTCATGGAGCCAGCTTTATGCATATGCGTTTTCATGTGGCGTTTTAGCTTGCTGGCTTGGGAGCAAGCATGGTCACAGAGCTGACACTTGTAGGGCTTTTCTCCTGTGTGACTGCGCCGGTGCACGATAAGGTTACTCTGGAACTTGAATGTTTTCCCACAAAATTCACAGGACTTGCTCTTGGCCTGAGGCTGGGGAGGCGTAGTGCTGCTAGGGGGCATGGGGGGCAGTGGCGGGGTGCTCAAAAAAGGTGATTTAGGACTTGGCTGGAAAGGATTCAACAGACGATGCATAGGGTTGGTGCGACTGGGTGAGACTGGCGGAGGGGTGGAACTGTTTCCTGCCAGCTCTCGGAGCCTTCTGGAGAAATCCATCGCTGGGGACTCAATTGCCATGGGGTTTAAACGCATAACTCTGTCAAAGGCACTGGGATGCTGGGCAACTAACCCCATTTCTTCGGCACTAAGGCGATGTGGATCCAGATGATGACGAGGCGGTGGGCTGAACAGCGGAGGCGTGTTTGGGAGCCGACCCTCACCAAAGCCAGGGTGTTCACGCAAGATGGGTCCTGTCATGCGCAAAAGGTTGAAGGGGTTGTTGTCTCCAAGAAAATTCATCAGCGGGGACTGTGCAACAGTCTCCGGTCCCAGAGGAGGAGGGATGGTGATGCGTGGAGTAAGGGAACTGTTTGAAGGGCTTGTTTCCAGGTAGATGCGGAATCCATGTGTGTTCTGGGCATGCTGAAGCAAGAACCAAGCGCTATTAAAAGGCTGTTTGCATGTTGTGCAAATATAGCTTGAAGGCTCATCTTTACCTATAAAAGAAAAAACAGAAAGAACACTTAAAAAATAATACAGCGGAGAACATTTAAATACAGTTGGCATTCGCTTTATTTTGCTAACACACTTCCTCCTTGGCATTTCTGAAAGAAGTATTTAATTGCAATGTATTGACTGATATAAATTGTTGAACAGCACCTTTAGTCACCGCACTTATTCATTTAACATGTATGACAAATATCACACATACGCATTTGTGCTATATAAGTTTACATCCTCTAATTTGCAAATAAAACCTTCTTTTATGACGTGTAAGGATCCAAATCCTTTCATGTGTTTATTCCACAAAAAGGAATTTGTTTCAAGGGATTTATGACTACAGACAAAAACCAAGAAAAATGCAGCGTGGTAGGTTTTACAAGGCACCTGTAAGGACCTTCAGTGTCATTTTCACTCTCTTATTTTATATACTTCATGCAGCAGTCCCCTGAGATCTTGCTGAATTTAATTTATACATGCTTAAGTCATGCCAGCACTTCCATTTTTAAAATATTATGTAGCTATTTAGCCACAAAAGTCCTATTCAAGTCAACAGGAGCTTGGAAAACATACCCTTGTATAAACCACTTTGACAATCTTTTTGCCAAAACACCAAGAAGCCACTCAAATGAAACATCCGGTAATCAAAGCCGACAGCACAGTTGCAATTAACAGTAACAAATGTCGGGCCATGCTTGAACCAGGTCCCAAGAATTTCTGAGCCTGAGCCTGCCCTCCAATGCAGAAATGTTCACCAGAGCCAAAAACACTGTTCTGTTTGCTTTTCTAGCCTCTTGGAACAACTGCATAAAGGTGGAAAGCATTCCTTTAACCTTGATTCAGCTTTACATAAAGGACAGGTGTGGACAAGTCTGCATCACAGTCATAATTTTGCTAGCTAGAAAATTCCGGTCCTGGGCACAATGTAAACTATGTGATATCTGCAAAAAGCATTTCCCTGCTTGCACCCCCCCCCTCCTTTTTTTAATGCCTCTGCAAGACTCTGATAAATTCATTACATAAATATGTGTCAACTTGAAAATCATGATGCAGGATTTGTTTTGTTGTTTGTTTTTAAATGAGTGGGAGGTTTCCTGAAAAAAACCTGACCATTTTGGAAAGCCAAAAATTAATTCCTTGCTTGTTTGTTTGTTTATGATAGCACATGTTTTGTCTAGCAATGGCCCCACTGAACCGAAAGGCACTAAACTTCCTGAAAGCTCAATACTTGAACTAAACTTCCTGCCTGACCCGTGAGGGAACCAGGACCCAAGCAATGCCTGATTCAGCCCCTTCACAGGAGCTCAAATCCAAAGCTGAACTAACACACCCTTTCTAGACAGGAGGCTGCCATTCCCCAAAGCCTGTTGCATGAGCTTGAAAATTAAAGCATTTATAAAGTGAACAGAACCATATTATTGAAACTACCTTGTAAAGAGGAATGACTCATAGCAGACAAAAAAAAAAAACAAAAAAAAAAAAAAGAGAGAAACAAAAACCAAACATTTAAACTTGGGAAAATAAGAGAAGCTGATTGAATTCCCCTCTTCTGGCTGTTGCAGGAATGACTGCTGCTAACAAAACCTACAAAACCTTAGACAAGGAGGCTAGAAGATTATCTGCCTACCTATCAGTCTGCCAGTTTATTTAATCTTATCAACCAGTATGCATCCATAGCAGCATAAAGGAAAAGGCATGTATCAGATTGAGACTTATTTACAAAGGTAGGTGATAAATGTGGTCAAATCTTCATGCATTTATTGATTTAGTAGGGCTGTGGATAGCAACTTCAAACCCTGATTTCACTGAAGCTTCACAGCCAATAAAAAATGTACACAATACAATAGACATTTCTGTCTGGCTTATGTGGTCCCCATGCACTGGACCCACACAATGCATCTGTATGTGCCAGACATAGTTGCTTTGATTAATTTCTAACAATCACTATTGGAAAAAAACAAACAAGTTTTGGAACTGCCCTTGGCTTGAAAAAAAGTGCCCGTAACTGCTACTGACATTAATGAAAGCCACATACAAACATGGAAGGGAACTGATACATTATCCCTTAAAATCTACTCAGCACTGAGGCAGTTAGGAAGTTTTATGTCAGCTTTGCAGTCAAAGCAACAGTAAATGCTCCCATTATTACGTCAAATATTTAAATTTCTGTTTCTTACAGAAATATTATGAAAATGTCTAGACCTTTAACTTTTCTTGCACAGCAACATGTGTAGTATTAAAAGGGACAGAAATCACTGAAGCAAACTAAAGTATATAACATACTCTGTCAAAAGATTTTTTAAACAATATGTTTTACCTCAGCTCACCCTAGAATAGATTTTAATAAAGCCCCTTACAAAGTGTGATCTAATAGCAAATGAAGTGCATCATCTTACAAGGTCATATATCTTCAAATTAAAGAGTGCTCTGCACCCTTCACCTTCACTTTATCCACTCTAATTAATCGATTTATTACCCACAGCTGTTCAATTCTTTCATTTTTAAAGTAACAGCATGCCGTCTTTTTTTGTTATGGGGTTTTTTCTTTAAAAAAATAAAATGACTGAGTGTCTGTGTATATGCATGCTTTGCTTAGCTCAAGAGCTGACAGGAGGAAGAAAGCAGCTGTGTATTAGGCGAAAACAACAGCAACATGTTTGCTTCAGAAAAGGCACATATGTAAGAAGGAAAATTCCTGAGTGGGCTGAGGATCAAGGCCAACCTAAAACTGAAATGGCTGATTAAAAAAATTACCCTCAAAATGGCAGCTGGCTGGATGCTTGCTATTACATGTTACATGGAACTAAGACATTTTTGTTTGTTTTGCCCTCCAAAACTTCACCTCCATGAAATTCAAGAGAGGAAAGTAAGTCCCCACCTTTTTAGTTTTCTTTCAAAGTGACAAAATTAGTGCTACTAGTGATCTAAGATTTATATGCTAGCAGCCATAGGTCTTCTCTACCTTGTTTGTTTTGTTTAGCTTTTATGTTCCTCAGGGCTCCTCTTCAGGAGACCTCAGCACAACAGCAAAATTGACTGTAGGCTACCTGGCTACTAATCGCTGACTGATTCATGAATGTTAATATATGCATACCTATATATATATATTTTTTCCACAGCTCTCAAAGACTCTCCCCAGACTCCCTCTTTTAAAAAAATAGAAAAAAAAAAAAAAAAGTTAATTACCATATTATCACTTCATGGTTATCTTGCCTAAAAGTTGCCCTGAGCAGTGTAGATGCTCACTTTTAAGAACAGAACAATGTCAAAAAGTCTTTGAAGAACCTCTCCGTACATTTTTATGTTCAAAAACTTGCTAAATATTTTAAACATGCCCAGAAAGAGCCATGTATTGCTCAAGAATGATCCTTATATTTAATAAAGCACCTACACTATAAAAGTCTTTGTTATAAGGCTATTTTTGATATATAGCTATCTTAATCCCTTGTCACCTGCACTGAAGTCTTTTTAAATACCCACTTTATGACAACTACCTATATAGTCTTTGCCATATGCAGTCTTTATCACTTTAGCATGTGCTTCACTTTGAGCATGTGAGTAATCAACATCAGTGAAACTTAAGCATAGGCTGAAGTGCTCTGTTGGATGGTGATGAAATTATTCATGTGCTTAGAGTCAAACACAAGCCAAGACTTCATTAATACTGTTCTATGAATTGCACATGGTTTCAATCTTACAGCCTGTAACTAGGCTTGCATTTCAGGGCTGAGAGCTGAAGTATAATTCTTTATTTTTACAGTAGTTTGTAGATATGATGTATGTACAGAGATGAGACATCCAGGTCACAGCTCCTGAGCAATCAATTGTAGCTTCCAGGTTGCAGTAAAGCCAAACAAATAATGCCAGTTTAGACATGATAGAGGTTTTTAGGACTGAATCCTACTAAGACTGCTGAAATGGTATTTCAGGTATTCAAAAATACCATTTAAAGGCTAGGAGGAATTGTGAAATTAAAGAATGAGAGGACTGGGATAAACCCTGAAGTTTGACCTCATCCAATACCAGCCCTCCTGTCATGGGCAGGGACACCTTTCACTAGACCAAGTTGCTCAGACTTCCATCCAGCCTAGCCTTGAACACTTCCAGGGATGGGACATTTGTAACTTCTCTGGGTAATCTGCTCCTATGCCTCATTTTTTCCTAATATCTGGTCTAAACCTACTTTCTTTTTGTCTTTGTCCTTTGTCCTGTGGCTACATGTCCATATCTATGAGCCTATTCATATCTATGCCAGCTGCTCCAATATCCCACTTCAAAGGCCACCAAGTGGAGAGTCTACAACCTTTTAAAAGTCTACCTCATTCCTTCTCTCCTTTACCATCATTAAGATTCCCCAAGTGCCTAATCTAAATCTTTCTTCCTGCAATTTAAGATCTTAATATATTATTCTACCCAGATGTACATGCAAAACACAGGAAAAAAATTAGTCAGTTATCATCCAACCCAAGAATTTGCAGCTGAACCACTTTGTGTCTTTTAGCACCCCCTTCTCTCAATTTGATTTGGAAATGTTGAGGGAGAATTCACTTTGTATTGGAGTAGTCAGTAGCCATGTTGACTATTTTCAGTATTAAAAAAAAGTTGTCTTTCCAATTCAAATTGCTGAGTTCAACTCCCAACAGTTAGATCTTGCTGTATTTTTACCTGGGAGATTAAAAATCTCTCTAGTATCTTCTCCCAAAGCAGGTAATTTTAAACTTTGAACTTATTGAACACTGTTGCCTTTTCTGAGTATTATGACAAAAATATGGTGTTTTCCAGAAATATTAAAATGTGTTTCCTCGATTAGTGCATGTTAAATTATGTTCCATTCAAAATGTCAGTGCAATAATGAGCCTTCTTCTCTTTCATGAACAGCTCTAAACAAAGCTGAATTCCAACCCTGCCTTCCAAATTCTGCCCTTACAGGAGACAGTGAGAAAACACAGGTCAGAACAAAACTAGACTGGGTCTGTAGACATCCACCCCACTGCAC